CCATAGCTGCTGGTAGGTTAGAGTTAGTGGCGGCCATAGCTGCCATAGCTTAGTGTTAGGTGTGTATGTGTGTGTGTACAGTGTGTGTGCGTGGGGTATCCAGGGTGATCCGGAGTTGAAGTGTGAGGCGAACAGTGGTGCTGCGCACAGAGACAAGAGTTGCGAGGTGTGGGTGCTGAGGCACCATGGCCTGTTGAAGCGAGCTCATATCTGAACTGTGTCTTGATTTCCACGTCTTCGAGCTTTGAGTTGGGCGCTATGCGCCAGAGTGATTCACCATCTGTTTGTATGCATGTGAAGTGACGAAGTATACGAGTCTGATTGCACAGCGAGCTCAGTTGGTGCAGCCATGAACTGTTGAAGTATGGACCTGAGTTCTAATTCACATGACCTAGATAACTGAAATGATGAAATCCAATAATTCTGAATACCATGGGAGGGTCAGTTCAACAATGATATCTCAAGGCTGTTGCCCTTCGAAAAAAGAGAAAAAAAAACTATCAATCTTTTACACATCCTTGCACATGTGAAAGAGGTACATGTATTTCAGCAAAGATGGCAGTGCTCAACTGCTCGCGGATCAAAAGGGTAACTTGGAAAAACGCATACAAACAGTTGACCAACTCCAGGCTACAGCCACAGCATGCTAAATGCACTTGTTGTCATGCGTATGGTGTGTGGTACAGTGTGCCAAAAGTCCATCCGGCTCACCATATCAAAAACAGAATCAAAGAAATTATGAAAGTTTAAAGTAAAGATTAAGAAAAGTCGAAATTTTGAATTTAACAAAATACATCATTTTGGTGTCCTGGTGGGTGTGTGCCTTTCGTGATTTCGCTTTCTTGCAGTTGACACCTATGGACAGTTCGTGGATGAGAATGAGGAGCTCCTCAAAATGCTTCCCCCATCGCCGGTGGCCGTGAACTATTATGAAGGAGGGGATTTATACATGTGAGTAAGCATCTGTGAGGATTGAGCCCTCAAGTAGGGGCCTTGCCATGATGTACATGTTCTGGGCTAAGGCCCCAGCAAGCCTAGTGCCCGCCCTAAGTGAAGGCGGGCCAGCAAATCAACAAGAGCCCTCTATGCCAACATTTCACGAAGTGGGGTCYATACAGTTGCAGCACGCCAGTTGGTTGGAGTGCACCGAGTCTCGGATTTCAGCAAATGCTGAAATGCCCAGGGCCTCTGAGTTAGTTAGGCCCTGGGCACTTGAATGTGAGGCCGACAATGCACGCTGGGTAGAGAGGCGGAAAATGCTAAAGG